TGAGTACTGCCTAGTTCTTCTTTTGCGAAGCCTGTCAACAGTGTCAAGAGGGTGTTCTCATCATGCAGGACGATGTCAAGAGGAAAGATGATGACAAGAAGAGGGACAGCTTGTGCAAGATTGGCTGTCTGTGTAAATGCCTAGGCCATGCTAGTCACTGTTGTGCTCTCGTCCAACAACATGAAGCTTTTTCGAAGCTTGGCGACAGTATATCCGGAGAGAGTTCCGACAATGAAGGACGATGACAGGAAGAAAGATGACGACAGGAAGAAGGACAGCTTGTGCGAACTTGGCTCTGTGATGAAGGTCTTTGTCCTCACAGTCAACTTGATTCTCAGTCCTGCCTAGTTCTTCTCATGCGAAGCCTGTCGACAGTGTCACGACAAGAGAATGTCCACACAATGCAGGACGATGACAAGAGGAAAGATGACGACAGGAAGAAGGACAGCTTGTGCGAACTCGTCTCTTTGTATGAACTCGATTCTGAGTCCTGCCTGTTTCTTGTCATGCGAAGCCCGTCGACAGTGTCAAGAGAACCATGCAGGACGATGACAAGAGGAGAGATGATGACAAGAAGAAGGACAGCTTGTGCAATATTGGCCGTCTGCGTAAACGGCTAGGCCATGCTAGACACTGTTGTGCTCCCGTCTGACTACATTACGAAGATTCACGAAGCCTGGCGACTGGATATCCAGAGAGATTTCCGACAATGAAGGACGATGGCAGGAAGAAAGATGACGACAAGAAGAAGGACAGCCTTTGCCTTGTCTCTCTGTATGAAGGCCTTGTCCTTCCAGTCAAGTTGATTCTGAGTACTGCCTAGTTCTTCTTTTGCGAAGCCTGTCAACAGTGTCAAGAGGGTGTTCTCATCATGCAGGACGATGACAAGAGGAAAGATGATGACAAGAAGAGGGACAGCTTGTGCAAGATTGGCTGTCTGTGTAAATGCCTAGGCCATGCTAGTCACTGTTGTGCTCTCGTCCGACTACGTGAAGCTTTTGCGAAGCTTGGCGACAGTATATCCGGAGACAGTTCCGACAATGAAGGACGATGACAGGAAGAAAGATGACGACAGGAAGAAGGACAGCTTGTGCGAACTTGGCTCTCTGATGAAGGTCTTTGTCCTCACAGTCAGCTTGATTCTGAGTCCTGCCTAGTTCTTCTTATGCGAAGCCCGTCGACAGTGTCAAGAGAATGTTCTCACCATGCAGGACGATGACAAGAGGAAAGGTGATGACAAGAAGAAGGACAGCTTGTGCAAGATTGGCCGTCTGCGTAAACGGCTAGGCCATGCTTGACACTGTTGTGCTCTCGCCTGACTACATTGCGAAGATTCACGAAGCCTGGCGGCAGTATATCCGGAGAGAGTTCCGACAATGAAGGACGATGACAGGAACAAAGATGACGGCAAGAAGAAGGACAGCTTGTGCCAACTTGTCTCGTTGTATGAAGGCCTTTGTCCTTCCAGTCAGCTTGATTCTGAGTCCTGCCCAGTTCTTCTTTTGCGAAGCCCGTCGACAGTGTCAAGAGAATGTTCTCACCATGCAGGACGATGACAAGAGGAAAGATGATGACAAGAAGAAGGATAGCTTGTGCAAGATTGGCCGTCTGCGTAAACGGCTAGGCCATGCTAGACACTGTTATGCTCTCGTCTGACTACGTGAAGCTTTTACGAAGCCTGGCGAGAGTATATCCATTCACAGTTCTGAGAATGAAGGACGATGACAAGAAGAAAGATGACGACAGGAAGAAGGACAGCTTGTACTTGTCTCTCTGTATGAAGGCCTTTGTCCTTCCGGTCAACTGGATTTTGAGTCCTGCCCTGTCGACAGTGTCAAGACAAGAGAATGTCCACATCATGCAGGACGATGACAAGAGGAGAGATGATGACAAGAAGAAGGACAGCTTGTGCAAGATTGGCCGTCTGCGTAAACGCCTAGGCCATGGTAGTCACTGTTGTGCTCTCGTCCGACCACGTGAATCTTTTACGAAGCCTGGTGACGGTATATCCGGAGAGAGTTCCGACAATCAAGGACGATGACAGGAAGAAAGATGATGACAAGAAGAAGGACAGCTTGTGCGAACTTTTCTCTCCGTGTGAAGGCCTTGGTCCTTCCTGTCAACTTGATTCTGAGTCCTGCCTAGTTCTTGTCATGCGAAGCCCGTCGACAATGTCAAGAGAATGATCTCACCATGCAGGACGATGACAAGAGGAAAGATGACGACAAGAAGAAGGACCGCTTGTGCGAACTTGTCCCTCTGCATGCAGGTCTTTGT